CCTCTGCGTTCGCTGTTTAGCTGGCCGGTGAGCACGCGGGCCACTTGGTTCGCCGATTTGGTGGCTGATGGGCGTGCGGGCCACTGGATGGTGGCCGGTGAGCACGCGGGCCACTTGGTTTGCCGATTTGGTGGTCGATGAGCACGCGGGCCATTTGGTGGTGGCCGGTGAGCGTGCGGGCCACGTCATCCATAGTTCGTTGATTCGCTGGTTGGCGTCGGATAATCCTCTTTGACTTAGATAATGGCGTTCATCACATTCTCTCTGTCTCGAGCTGTATTCGGGGACCTATAGGTAATTTTTTATGCCTACAGATATCCCCTCCAAAGAATTTCAGACTCGTTCTTTTATAGGGGAGTCTGGAATGCTTTGGATAAGATAGACCCTTTCCTCAATCTCGTAGAGGGACCTGTTAACTGCTTCAATTCTTGACTTCTCCACTTTTCAGTCTATTCAGTGTTTTGTCGAATAGATGAAGTTCTTCTGGCCCTGCATTTATCGTCTGACCGTTGTTGAAATCTTGGATTGAAGTTGATGCGTAAGTTTCTGAATTTAGTTGCTATCATTCAGTTCACTTTGAACTGATCATCTTCGTCGGAAATTCATATCTGAATGCGATTGAACTCCCTGGAATCATCCTTTATCTTATTTTGGCGAAATTGTCTATGTGTCGACCAGCATCAGCCTTTACTGTAACGCATTGCCCAGCATTAACATAGTTTATACTCATACGTTTGCTGGAGTTTACACAGTTTAAGCTCTTAAGACGTTGGAGCGTGGCGGTCCGAAATGTTAGGACTACAGGACCAACTATTAAAATTGATTCATCTGTATGTGTGGATCTTATCCTAAAATTTGTTGGATGCTTAAGTCATGAGACCAACTAATGAAGCTGATGCGTCAATGACTCGTATTTATAAAATTTTTGGTAAATTCTCAGCCATCAACGGGTTTGATAAACCTTTACCGACTACCGTTTGAGTCGGGCTAGCATGCAGATTGTTTAAATCCGTTCTGCACATAACGTTGTGCTAAAAGAGTTAACTTTTTTAGTGCTATGTTATTGAATACGTAGACTTCGTCTTTCTCCTGTGAAAAGACTAAACAGCAACGTGTATCAGACGTAGACTTAGGATTTTTGGCAAATCCTCAGCCTTCAACGGATTTGACATGCCTTTACCGATTACCATTTGAATCGGGCTTGCACGCGGATTGTTTAAGTCCGTTCCGCATGTGATGTTGTGCTAAGAGAGTTAACTCTCTTAGTGCTACGATATTGAATACGTAGACTTCGTCTTTCTTACGGGAATAGACTACCCAGTAACGCGTGTTAGGCGCTGACTTATCCCTACTTAGGCTTCGGGATAAAATTCCTCACGCATAAAAGGCATGGATTTTTGTTGCTACGATGCTGAATACGTAGACTCGGTCATTTTTACGGGAATGATTTTTGTTGCTACGATGCTGAATACGTAGACTCGGTCATTTTTACGGGAATGAACCACCCAGCAACGCGTGTTAGGCGCTGACTTATCCCTACTTAGGCTTCGGGATAAAATCCCCCGTGCGTGTGAAGCACGGATTTTGGCGTTATGAATAACAACTTGCCACAATGTCGAATATGTGGGCTTTTGTTCTTTCTACGGCTAAGAACTAACCGGCAACGCGTGTTAGGCATTGACTTATTCCTACTCAGGATTCGGGATAAAATTCCCCGTGCATGTGAAACACGGATTTTGGTGTTATGAATAACAATCTGCCACAATGTTGAATATGTGGGCTTTTGTTCTTTTTACGGTTAAGAACTAACTGGCAACGCGTGTTAGACGCTGACTTATCCCTACTTAGGCTTCGGGATAAAATTCCCCGTGCGTGTGAAGCATGGATTTTGGTGTTATGAATAACAACCTGTCACAATGTTGAATATGTGGGCATTTGTTCTTTTTACGGTTAAGAACTAACCGGCAACGCATGTTAGGCATTGACTTATCCCTACTTAGGCTTCGGGATAAAATACCCCAGATGGTATTCTGGTGTCTTTTTCAATCGGTGAAAGACTAAACCGGCGACGCGTGTTAGGTACTGACTTATCCCTATTTAGGCTTCAGGATAAAATTCCCCGTGCGTGTGAGGCACGAATTTTAGGAGTTTGAAAAAGTAGAGTCTTCTCTTGGGGCAAAGACGAACCCGATGCAGGAGAGGAAGAATTTTATATTCTATCTCCCAAAACTAAAGAGGAAGAATTTTATATTCTATCTCCAGTTACAAAAGGAAACTCAAAGTGGGATCTCCACTTCAAGAATCCGGGAAGGTGAAACTAAGAGTGAGATCTCCATTTCGAGAATCAAAAAGATTCGGATAACCCTAACTATCGGAAGGTTTGATTACCGAACTAAAAATGGATTTCTCGTTTATCGAGAGTGAATTGTGGTTTTGGTCCTTACTGTAGGAAGGTTTGACCAAGCGGGAGTTTAAGGTGATCCTAACTGTAGGAATGTTTGATCACTCGATTTGAAAGTGGACCTCTCGTTCATGGAAGGAATCGAGAGGGGATTTTAGTTTTGGTCCTAACTATAGGAATGTTTGACCAAGTGAGAGTGGGAGTGAGAGATGACCCTAATTTTTATAGGTTTGATCACTCGATTTGTGGACCTCTCGTTCATTGAAGGAATCGAGAGAGGATTTTGATTGTGGTTCTAACTGTAGGAAGGTTTGACCAAGCAGACAGTAAGAATGGGAGTACAAATCATAGTGGGAGTGTTGATTCGTACAAATCACTCAAAGGGGATTCCTAGCGTTAAGCGACAAGTACTTAACACGGAAGGGTTTGACAATTGTCAATGATCAGGAGATTAAAATCTCGAGTACCATGTCCAGACTCTAACGATGAGGATGTTGAGTGCACAGATGCATCGAAAGTTTAAGTGGATTTAACCAAAAAGAATTTTGATGGTCCCACCGTCAATTAGTCTGATCGGTGGGGGATTTTTTTTTTGTGGTGGAAGACTGTGAGTTGTTAACAAAAGAGTGTTCGGAAATCACAGTGGGAGTTTAGTATTTATCACTTTATTCGTAATGATTGGGTTATCCCTAAGAATATTATATTTAACATTCTTTCGGGAACTTCCCATTACATGAATTATCCACCCCTAGCTTTCATTACAAAACTGGATCCAATGAGGAGTACATTATCCTCACTCGTATGTTCGGGTTATCCTTAAGAATATAAGATTCTCTAGGAACTTCCCGTGAAAGAAAGGAAATAGTTTAGACTCATATACCTGTTGGAGTATTGAGAAGCAGTTTATTCTCATATACTCTTCGGAGTGTGGCGATTCTCACTTGGCTTATCCCAACGTTATGACGCCAGCTTCAACCAAGGTTTGGATGCTATTTTTTAGAGCAAAGTAATCCTTAGTGGGATGAAGGACC